AGGCAGGGTCAGCAACACAAGAATCCAGCCTTTGACCAGCCCTTTCAGATGACCATCTCTGCAGAGGCCAACTCTCCCATTTTGTCCCTGTTGCACAAGTCTGGGCCTCTGGGGGAGGGGAGGTCATGGGGTTTTTCTGTGCCTTCCAGGGATAGAGGAAGGCCTGTGACCTGGGAGTCTGGATGCCTCTTACACTTCAGGAGGATGAGGGAGGCTGGCCTTCCTGGCTCAGAGACCTACATGGAGGGTCCAGGTAGAAAGGAATTGCCCTGCCTCCTCAGGACAGGATAAGGCCCAATCATGACACACCAGCATCTGGCCGGCAGGAATCTTTTTTTTTTTTTTTTTTTAACATCTTTATTGGAGTATAATTGCTTTACAATGGTGTGTTAGTTTCTGCTGTATAACAAAGTGAATCAGCTATACATATACATACATCCCCATATCTCTTCCCTCTTGCGTCTCCCTCCCTCCCACCCTCCCTATCCCACCCCACTAGGTGGTCACAAAGCACTGAGCTGATCTCTCTGTGCTAGGCCTGCAGGAATCTTAATCTGAACCTGTTCCCCCACCTCCCTCTAAGTTTCCCTGGGAGAGAGCAGCAGGGCTGTGGAGGACAGGTCAAAAGGTCGCAAGACCTCTTGTTCTGCCACCCATCCACCTAAAGGTTCTGCCCTCCGTCATATCCTCCTCCATCTACCCAGCCACCTCTTTCCCCAGGGCTTCTGGGAATATCCCTCTGGTCTTTCAGGATTCAGGAGCCTGCCCAGCCAGGACCCCAGCAGCCAGAACAGACCCAAATTGGGGTGCTCCCCTTTCCCATGATCTCCCAGGGGCTGCCCTGGGATTGGCACACAGGTGGCCTGCATCCTTCCAAAGCCCTGCCCAGGAGGAGGGCGGACCTTGACAGTTGTTCATGCTCTGATGCTTTGAGGAATGTGGAAGACCAAGAGGACAGGCAGAGCAGGAGGTGGGCTTAGAGACCGTGGAGGCAGCTTGAGGGCCGGTAGACTGGGGACTGTGTACAGAGATCGGGTACAGTGTGGCACACAAACCTCTCTGGGGCATCCTGTGCATGTGTATGTGTGTGTATGTCCGCACACATCCATGCATGCACATATGCGCTTGTAACGGGGGAGGGGAAAGAGAGGAGTGAGGGGAGACTTCCTGGACACAGGGGCAGTGGCACACAGGTTCCACCCGTGAGGTGTGTGCCCTAGGGGGCATTCAGAGGACAGTGGAGGGTGGGGAGCACCTCAGGGGCTTGCCCTCTTTCTCCATCAACATCCCGTGCGTTTCCAGGGCTCACCTCCAGTCGCAGCGGCAGCCCCTGGGAACCAGACAACATGCTCCCCTTAGTTCTGACCTCGCAGAAGGAAAGCCGAGTCCTCCTCCCCTCCCCCTCACAGCTGTGCTTGGGCCTGGCTGGAGTTTGTCAAACATACACACACCCCTCCAGTGCCCTGAGGGGTGGGCTGGGTTGAGGCGGGGGTCACATTTCCTGCATCTTTGGACCCAGGACTACTGCACTGTGCCTCTGAGCCCAACCCCGGTTCCATCCTGGGGTGGCTGCCCTGCTCCCATGGCTGGAGTAAGTCTGAGCCTCAGGACAGCGGGCAGCGCCTGGCAGCTCCTCCTGGGCCCCTGCCAGAACCAGGCCAGGGCTTTAGGGACAGGGAGGGAGGATCTCAGGCTTGCAGGTGGCTGTGTGGAGGCAGGTCCCAGAGAGGCCCCCTGGGCTCTAAGACTGCATTGGGAGACTCGAGCTCCGTCAGAGGCCTGAGGGACCCTGGAACTCAGCTTCTCTTGTGCCAGCAGAGGGCACAGAATGGGAGCTGAGAGCAGGGCGTGAGCTGCTCCCCTTCTCCAATTCGGTGAGGAATCAGAGGCCCCTCTAGCTCTCGTTTCTAGAATAGCATCAAGGCCCAGAGGAGTCAGCTGTGCCAGGAAAATCCATTACTCTGACAGCCTCCCTCCACCTGCTAAAAGCTTCCTCTTTCCCCTGGGGCCTCACCCCTCCAGAGTTATTTCTTCTCTGCTCACCTAGCCCTGTCCGACCTCTGTGGTGTGTGTTGAGGGAAGTGCTTGCTTAACTCTTCCTATGCCTGAGCGAAGTCAGCAACAGCAGACTCCCTCAGCCTTGTCCATTGCCCTTCCCCGTCTCTTTCCACCTGGAATTCCTCCTGCCAGATGCCCAGGGGAGGGGACAAGGGGCTGAAGACATCAGGAGAGTGGAAGACAGGCTGGCAAGTTGGGGTCATGGGCTCCAACCTGAATTGTGTCACTGCACTGCTGGGACTTAAGTCCATCGCTCACCCCCGATTCTGTCCTCTCCTTGCACCGGGAAGCCCCCAGGGATGCAAATACCACGTGCCCTGCAGGAGCAAGCTTGCTGTTAGGGTGTGGAAGGTCTGACGTCTTCCTCACATGCATCATTGCAAGAGTCTCCACTTAGTGCTTCTGCCGTTCCGCTGCTCTCTGCCCTGTGTTCTCTGTGCAGCCCAGTACCTGCTTCCCAGAGGAAGGGAGGCGTGGAAAATGAACAGAGCAGGTGGAATGGGGGCTGGTGGGAGGCTTCTGAGAGCTCTGAGGCCTCTGACATTGGGGGCGGCTGGCAGAGGGGGAACCAGAGCAGAGTGGCAGGTGGAGGGGTCCAGGTCACACCCCTCATTTAGCAGAGGTCACGGAGCCGGGAGGAAGGGGCCTGAGGAGCGTCGGCAGGCTGGGCTCCACCACCCGCCAGCCTCACTGCCTTGTTCTCTCCAGCCTGGCAGCCTCCTACACAGCCCTGGGCCAGAGGGACCCGCTTTGCAGGCGTGGGGAGGTGATGGCTGTGTCTGGGTGGGCACCGAGTCTGGCGGGCTCCATCACTCCGGCTCTCTGGGCAACACACCCCTTCTCACCTCAGCCCTCCCGCAGTGCATCCCTTTCCCCTTCACGCTGCCCTCAGTCAGGTGGCTTTGGACACACCCAGGTTGGTTTTTTTGTTTTTTTGTTTGTTTTTTGCGGTTTTCTGCTAAAAGCTTCCTCTCCCGCTGCGGAGCACAGGCTCCGGACGCGCAGGCTCAGCGGCCATGGCTCACGGGCCCAGCCGCTCCGCGGCATGTGGGATCTTCCCGGACCCGGGGCACGAACCCGCGTCCCCTGCATCGGCAGGAGGACTCTCAACCACTGCACCACCAGGGAAGCCCTGCCCAGATTGCTTTGTATCACAAATGAGGCACTAACATGAATGGGGTCTTCTGTGTGCCAGAGCTTAACATGCTTTCTCCCCAGTCCTTATAACCAACCCTCGGAGTGAGGTACTACTTACAGAAGAGGAAACTGAGGCTCAGAGAGAGGAGGGGACCTGGCCGGAAGAGACCTGTGGGCTGGAAACCAGTGAGTGTGACTCCAAAGCCTGTACTCTTTCTGGGTATTTTTTTGCTGTGACTTACCTTGGTCACAGCAGCCAGAGACCCCCAGTTGCAGACCCAGAGCTGGGGATCAAGATAGGGAGACGCCAGACCTGGGCAATTAAAATTATTCTTATTATTACTAACACTCTCATGGTATCTAACAATGTCTCAGGCACTTCACACATATTAATTCACTTCATGCCCACAACAACCCTGCATTACCGTCCCCATTTCACAGATGAAGGAAGTAAAGCACAGCAAGGTTATGAACCTCGCCCACAGTCACACAGCTACTTACGAGTTAGAGCTGGGATTTGGAACCCAAGTGGTCTAACTCCACGTACCCCGTTGTCATCATCACCATGTCATACTGCCTCTCAGTTGAAGCAGAGGGGAATCCTTAGTTGACCCCTGGAGCTTGGATACAGGACTCCCACAAGAATGGGTGTCCACAGGAGTAGGACTGTAATGGTTAGAAGGAAAGAACCAGGCCACTGTGTCACTCAAGTCAAGAGGAGAGAGGGAGCAGTGAGGGCCAGGGGGTCCCAGAGGGCTTCCTGGAAGAGAGGAACAGGCTGGGCTGGGAAGGATCAAGGCTGGGGATGCTAACACATGGGACGCATTGGCTCTGAGCTTCTGGGCCGATTCGCCTGCCCCACACTCTCTTTAGGGGCATCTGGGGGTGGGGGCCAAGGGCTGGTATGGACGCCATTTCTGCTTCCCACCCCGGGGTACCATTTGTGCACGATGCTCCTCCCTCCCGAGTGTGTGGTGTGGATCCCCCTGCCAAGGCTCTCTGAGATGAGTCCTCACCCATGATTGCTGCAGTTAATGCAGCAGCACCGCTTACAGCCCTGATATAATAACCTCCTCAACAGAAGAAACATTAACTCTCTCACTGAACTGTTTGATGGCTCAGGATCTCAGGGACACATCCCAGACCCCTGTGGGATGTGCTGGGATGCAGAAGGCCCAAGCTCCCACCTCACCTGGGACAGCCTGACCCTGCAGGACCTTGAGGGCTCGCAGGCCTGAAACCCCTCACCAGCCCCTGCCCTGCCCCCTGCCCAGCTCCAAGTGCCCTGCCCGGGGCCCTGCACACAGGGCCGCAGAAGGCTGCTGCAGAAGACAGTGGCGCGTGTACCCCATTGAAAAGGTTCAGAGCCGGGTAGCTGGGCCAGAAGCTTGGGGAGATGAAAGTTAAAGGAGAGATCAGCCAGGTGGGCACCGCACGGCTGCCCTGCCCAGAGGCCTCCTCCCACCAAACAGAAAAGAGGATCAGCATGAGAGTCTGTGCACTCAGGCGCCTGCTGGGAAGCCCTGACGTGGCGGGAGCGGGAAGTCAGACAGGCTAGGTGTCTACCTCCTCTCCCACCCCCACCCTCACCCTCTGGTGCCTTGGTCACCCGGGCAGGCAGGGCAGCCGAGGAGAGAGGCCTGCCGTTCCCTGGGCCTGGGATGACATGAGTGCCTCTGCCTGAGAGGGAGCAATTCATGCCCCGTCCACTCTTTGCTCAGATTTATGGACGGTGGAGTCTGAGAGTGGGGGAGCAACAGGCAGGGCACCCTCCCTCTGACTCAGCCTGCCCCACCCCTCCCCAGGAAAACCACATGTGAGGCAGCGAAGAACCAGAGTTCCAAGGCAGTCACATCTGTGCCCTCGGAGCCCAGCAAAGCCCCCATCTGGGGGGACACGGTCAAAGCTGAGGATGCGGGGCATGAAGGTGAGGCGGTGAGGGGGCAGGCGGGGCTTAGGAGGGGTGCAGGGCAGAACCAGCCTCCCTCTCAATGCAGCTGGAAGCCACCTGAACGTCTCCTCGGGCTCAGTTAAAAGCACTTTAAAGGAAAAAAATCATAATGCTGTCATGCCTCATCTCCCCAGCCTGCTCGAAAAATGAGTTGTTCCACATAAATGAATTTTCCAGACAATGAAAGCTTATCTATTTTACGACCATTGTTATTATTTTCATGGTTGTTATTACCACCGTCTCCCACTGAAATGGCACATTACAGCTTCCTGGCACATCCCCATGCGTTGCTCGTTGCATCACCCCTCCCAAGAGGAGCGATGCTGCTCCCATTGCTTAGATGAGAACACTGAGGTTCAGGGAACTTATATCACAGGCTCAACTCAAGTAATCAGTAAGTGGGGGAACCTAGGATCAGCATTCCATGCTCTCAGTATAGCTCCTGAGCTCTAGCTGCTTCCCTAGAATGGCTTCATATCCTGTCTAGTCCTCCCCGGGAACTGCCCACTGTCAGACAGTAGTGCGTCTGTGTTTCCAAAGTCGGGGGCTGCTGTCATAGAAACTGCCTAATAGTTCTCACTCCTCCACCCCCAGAAGGCTTTCCAGTCCCTGTGTTTTGGCAAATTCTGACACTGCAGGAAATTTAAGGTTCCAGTGTACACACATATGTGTGCACACTTGTGTTTTCCACACTGGGGGCCCACCTGATTTCCACTCTCAGGTGAGAACTCAAGCCGGGCACACAGGAATATTGGCTGGCTGATGACAGGACAGCTGTGGGTACCGGCATCAGGCACTGTCAGCACAGACTCGCAGGTGCCCGTGATGTCTCTGGTCAAATCTAGTCAGAAGAGCCTCAGGCTCCCGTCTTGCAAGTGACACACCTCAGATGACATGCTTTACCTCTGCCCTTGAAACTCTTGCCAGGGACTTAGAGCTCCCTGTCTACCTCACAAAGAGCAGAAAGCCAGCTGTTAAAGATGGTGGAAAAGGAGAGAGAAAAGGGGTGAAGGGGAAGGAGTGCCAATAAAAGGAGGAGAAACTAGTTCTAGGTCAAGCCCGAGGATTTTCTTCTGCCTGTAAAGGGATAGGTGGAGCTGTTGAGAAAATGTGGGAAAGGAGGAGAAATTGACCCAGGATCTCATGCAAATGCTCGTGTGTGCCTGTGTGTGAATGCCTGCATGCTGGTTCATGTGGGTGTGTGAACATTGTGTGAGCGTGTGAGTATGTGCTTGTGACTATGCCTACAGGCATGCATGTCTGTGTGTCTTGTATGTGTGTGTGTGTGTGTGTGTGTGTGTGTGTGTGTGTGTGCATTCACATGTCTGGCTGCAACAGTGTGTTATGTGTGCACCTAGATTTACCTGGGAGCTGATATGTCACCTGTTGGTACCTAAGTGTGTGTGGTTTGTGTGTGTGTGTATACATCTATGTGGCTGACAGGAAGTTAGGGGTTGTGATGAGTGGCCCAGGGCTGTGATCCTGTCCTGGGCTCTACACATCTGGGGTCATTACAGGAAAGGGCGTGATGAGTCAGGGGCCCATCTGTGTAGCAGAGACGGAAGCAGGACTCACTGCAGGAAGGACAGGAGGGTGGGGAGGCCTCATGGGCAAGCAGAGAATATTGGCAGCAGGCTCTTTGCAGACTGAGGTAGCTGGATGCTTGTTAGAACCTGGTTGGAGCCGGTTGCTGTGGTGATATCTGCGGTGGAGGGTGGGGGAGATGGGGTCCAGACCAAGAGGTGAGGGAAAGGCAGGAGGTAGCTCGAGGATGTGTTAATGAAAAGCAAAGGGGAGCTGCAGACGCTGTGTCAGGGCTAAAGCAGGCTGGCAGCAGAAATGGCTTGTTGGCCACACAAAGGGAGCTGTAGGAGGCCAGAGGGGCACAATGCCCAGAGGAGAAACTGATGAAGCGTGTTTGTAGCATGGAGACAGGAACGGGGGGAATGGCTGTCCATTCCCTCCAATTACAGCTCATCTGTGTGGCTGCCCACACAGAGCTGCAGAGACTGGGGGCAGGGGGAAAAATGCAGGGCACTCACCCCTTGTTCAGCCTCAGCAAATTCCAACTGTATTTGGGGACTCAGGGCCCCGTGGGTAGTGGCCATGAGAGGCTGCAGCCTCCACAGCTACTGTTGTAGCTTTGGCTAGGAGCACGGGAATCCCCCAGCTGAGTTTTTTCAATCTGCTCAGAGCTGGGTAAGCGTATGGAGCACTACAGATGGTTAATGAGCAGGAAAATGGTGACAGCTACGAGGAGCATTTGCTTAGAATTTCATAGGTTGGAAAACATATTCCCCTCCCTACAGCAATTATTAGGAGAGGGACAGAGTTTTTCTTCTTTAAAGTATTAACATTTTGCAGAGCAGGAACATGAAACTCAGAGAGGTTAAATGACTGGCTACAGGTCACAAAGCAAGTTGGTGTGTTAGTACTAGAAACCAGGTCTGCTGACTTCACACCTCTTGCCTTACTCTGTCTTTTTTTTTTTTTTTTAATATATCACTTACTTTGCTCATATTTCTATTTTATTTTATTTTATTATTTTTTGGCCACGTGGCGTATGAGATCTTATTACCCCGACCAGGGATCAAACCTGTGCCCTCCGCAGCGGAAGTGCAGAGTCTTAACCACTGGACCACCAGGGAAGTCCCTTACTCTAGTTTCTTCAAGACGGCCTCAAATCCTTTTGGTGACCATTTCCCCCTCTTTCCTTTGAACATGAATCCCACATGGCCTGCCCTTGAGGGACTTTGGCAAGAGTCTTTCCCTCTCTGTGCATCCCGGGTAGCTGTGGGGAGGAAGAAGAAAGGAAGAGTAATCAGCAAAGCTGTCAACTTCCTCCTCCACCCCCTCATCCAAACGACCCACCCAGCTCCAAGTGACCCAGCAGCACTGCGCTCCCAGGGAGCCTGCAGAGCGGCAGCTGTCCCTGGTGCTGAAACGTCCTTGTCTCAAGAAGCGAGGCAGAGGGCAACGAGCTACCCAAGAGTCTCCCTCGGGTACGCCCGTCCACCCCGCTCCTCCGTTTCCCATTCTTCTTAGATCTCTCTTTTATCTCGCTCCCTCCTCCATCCACCTCTCCATTCCCTCCTTCCCCATCTCCTGTTCTTCCTTAAATCATAGACTTCCAGAGTGGGAAGATGACTCCAAGGTCACTAAATCCAGCCTCTCACATCAGCCATTTACTAGCTGTGTGATGTTGATCAAGTTATATAACCTCTCTGAGCTCCGGTATCCACATTTAGAAAACAGAAATGGCGATTCCTACTTGAGGGACTGCGGGAATTTGTTGGAATAATGGCTCAGGCGTGCCCGTCCCCATGCCTGGCAATCAGTAGGTGCACACTAAGTACGACCACCATGATTATTTCCAGGTCATTGGTATTTTTCTCAGAGCTCATCCTGAAATTCATGCATCTGATGACAAAATGTAGTCTCTTTGGAAGGAGTTTCCTAAGTGGTGCATCATTCTTAGTGTTTAGACCAGTTTTCATTTACTTGGAGTAGACTTTTATTGATATTTGCATTTTTTTTTTTTTTTTTTAATATATCACTTACTTTGCTCATATTTCTATTTTATTTTATTTTATTATTTTTTGGCCACGTGGCGTATGAGATCTTATTACCCCGACCAGGGATCAAACCTGTGCCCTCCGCAGCGGAAGTGCAGAGTCTTAACCACTGGACCACCAGGGAAGTCCCTTACTCTAGTTTCTTCAAGACGGCCTCAAATCCTTTTGGTGACCATTTCCCCCTCTTTCCTTTGAACATGAATCCCACATGGCCTGCCCTTGAGGGACTTTGGCAAGAGTCTTTCCCTCTCTGTGCATCCCGGGTAGCTGTGGGGAGGAAGAAGAAAGGAAGAGTAATCAGCAAAGCTGTCAACTTCCTCCTCCACCCCCTCATCCAAACGACCCACCCAGCTCCAAGTGACCCAGCAGCACTGCGCTCCCAGGGAGCCTGCAGAGCGGCAGCTGTCCCTGGTGCTGAAACGTCCTTGTCTCAAGAAGCGAGGCAGAGGGCAACGAGCTACCCAAGAGTCTCCCTCGGGTACGCCCGTCCACCCCGCTCCTCCGTTTCCCATTCTTCTTAGATCTCTCTTTTATCTCGCTCCCTCCTCCATCCACCTCTCCATTCCCTCCTTCCCCATCTCCTGTTCTTCCTTAAATCATAGACTTCCAGAGTGGGAAGATGACTCCAAGGTCACTAAATCCAGCCTCTCACATCAGCCATTTACTAGCTGTGTGATGTTGATCAAGTTATATAACCTCTCTGAGCTCCGGTATCCACATTTAGAAAACAGAAATGGCGATTCCTACTTGAGGGACTGCGGGAATTTGTTGGAATAATGGCTCAGGCGTGCCCGTCCCCATGCCTGGCAATCAGTAGGTGCACACTAAGTACGACCACCATGATTATTTCCAGGTCATTGGTATTTTTCTCAGAGCTCATCCTGAAATTCATGCATCTGATGACAAAATGTAGTCTCTTTGGAAGGAGTTTCCTAAGTGGTGCATCATTCTTAGTGTTTAGACCAGTTTTCATTTACTTGGAGTAGACTTTTATTGATATTTGCATTGAAAGATTCCTTGAACAGATCACTTTTCCTTACTGAGCCTCAGTTTCCCCCTCTACAGCATATGGGAGATAAGCCCTCCCCTTCCTGCCTGAGGCGTTAGCGAGAGTGTCTGTGACCAGAGGAAGGGGGCCTTATTCCTGGGAAGGGGTCCTATTCCTGCTTATGTGTGTGTCTCTGTGTCTGCACATGTGTCTGTTGCTAAGGGGACTGGGGTCAGTTCTGTGTGTGTTCATCTCTGGGCTGGGAGTTTCTGGAACAGGAGAGAATTGCATCTTTCAGTCCTAACAGCACCTAGCAAGGAGCCTTGCCCTGTGCAGGGGCTCAAACAGTGCTTGTGAAGTTGTGTGCATCTGTGTGTTGCACACATACGCATGCATGTTGGTTCTTCAGTGTGGGTCCTGCTCCCTTGTTCACCTCTCACTGTCTCACCTGGGACAGGGGTCAGCTAAGCCCTGCCATGACCCTGTGCTCATCTTTTCTCTCTCCAGACGTGATCCCCAAGGTGGTGGACAATAAAAAGAAAGAGGAGCTGTTGTCCTAGCAAATCCCCATCAAGTACTTGCGTGTCTTCCACCCCTACCACTTTGAGCTGGTGAAAGTGAGTCAGAGCCCTGGGCTCTGAGCCCATCTAGGCCTGAGACAAGTAGGGGGTGAGCGGGTGGGAACCACCTTGATGCCCCTAGCTATTCCTTCAGAGCAACCCTGGGCATCCCATGCCCACCCATGTAGTATGACGATTCTTGGCCCATGTGGGGCTCAGGAAAAATAGCTCCTGGAAGATAGACAGGAATGATTTCCATAAGAATTTGGAATCCTTCAAGTTCATCTCCATAAAACAGCCCAATAAGCATAGAACATCTACCACATTAAATGAATACACCAATTAAAGCTGTATTCTCATTTCATGCATGTTTAAAGAGTGGAAATGTACCTAAAAATCAAAGAAATACAGTGTTGACAGAGCACCTACTAAGTTCCAGGTTCTGGGCTAGACACCACACACACCAGCTCTAATCCTCAACGTGAATCACATTTTGCATACATAGAACTGGGGCCCAGAGAGCAGAATCCTCTCATCCTGGGTTACAAAGCAAGCGAATAGCAGAGTCAAGTGTGAGCCTAGGTCACATTGTCCCCCAAGCCAGTTCTTTCTGTGCTGTCTCCTCACACTGCATTGACAGGAAGAAGGCCCAGGAGAGTTGGGGTGTGTGGGAAATAAAGTGTTCCCTGGAATGCACCCCTCTAGTGGGCAATAGGGCATGAGCCTGGAGTGGGGAGCCTCAGGGCCCCTTAGTCCATGGCCTAAACCTCTCAGGCCAGCCCCCCTGCCCAACCCCTCTCCCCAGTGCTGATTGATAGAAGGGAAAATTCACTCTTTCATTGCTCAAGTACTTTATTAAGCACCTACTGTGTGCTAGGCACTGGCAAGAGATGGGCAGAAGCATCACTTTTCCCTCTCTCCATGTGCATTCCAGACCACTATGGTTGTTTAAAGTAAAGAACAATGTAAAGTTAGCCTGGGTTCCTAAGCCAGGTCTGCCGCTTGCTAACTGTATATCCAAAAACCCGAGGCCTCAATTCCTCATCAGCAAAATAATATCCCTCTTAGCATGGCCATTTGGAGGGTCAAGTGCAATGATGGGCATGAAGCACCTAGCAAGGGACCTGGCACATAGTAAGTGCTCAGTTCAGATTAGTTCCCCTCCTCCCTCCCTCCCCCAGGCCCTGGCACTGACTTTCTTTCCAAGCAACTCTTCAACCATGGCCCCAGGGGTCTTTACCTTCCCTAGACTCTAAGGAGAACCCCAAGCCCAGGGCCTCAGGATGAGGAAGCAAAGACCCAGAGAGATGAGTGACTCACCTGGGAGACTCAGCACTTCAGCTGTAATTCTGGGAGCATCACCCAGACTTCCTTGGTTCTCTGTCCACTTACAACCCAGACCTTGTTATCACATCTTTACAAAGAGAGCAGGCAGGCAGTGGTCCTTGTGAGAGCGATGAAATATTCAAATAGAAAAGGGAAGATTTATTATATTGATCTCCTTGGAAGGGCTCGCAGGGACCATGAACTTTAATTATCAGCTCGGAGCCCCAGTGGAGCAATGCCAAGTGATTGTCCGTAGGGGCTGGATTTACGGCCAGGGTCTGCCCCTCAGTCACGCTCCTCCTCGTGCGTCTTCTTCCCCCACCCTGTCCCCAGCCCACTGAGTCTGGGAAAGCCGGTGAAGCCACCGCCAAGACCCAACTTTATGCAACGGTCGTTCAGAAGGGCAGCTTCACCCCCCACTACATGGGCCACAACCACACAGCTCTGGAGGTGCTGGGACCGGGACCCTCAGGGGTGGGATGGGGTGGGAAGGGGCCAAGCTCTGAGCAGGCCCCAGGCTCTGCCCTTGGCCACCTCTGGCTGGTCTGACGGTGTGGGACAGGGGTGTCTGGGGAAGAAATCAAGAAAGAAAAAAGCAACTGGGTTCTTCAAAAATAGCCAAAGTAGTTGGTAGAGAACCTGCCCTGGGATGGCAGGGAGGATGGGGATAAAGATGATGATGATGTTGCCTAAACTTTTCCAGCACTTTCCAGGCATATGACCCTGCCCTAACCTTGCCTTCCCTTGCTGTGCTCCCTCACACCCTGCAGGGAGTGCCACAGGGAGGACAGGAGGCTCCTAAAGTCTATGTCTCCCTGACTCTCATGTGGGGAAGTAAAGCGCCCCTACCTTGGCCCACATTTTCTGGTGTTTTCTCTCTTATTCGCTCCCTTCTGGAGTAGTGACTCCTGACCTAGGATCTACATCCCCTAAATGAAAATTTTAGGGGCCTCCCCACTCTTCCTTGAGTCCTGTTTCTGTCTGGCTGGTCTTCCAGTTAGGTCTTCATTCATTCATTCAACCACTATTTTTGGAGCCTCTTCCATTAACCAAGCCGGGGCTGGGCCCAGCTTAAGCCCAGCTTCCATACCTGTTCTCCACCCCCCATTACCCTCTACCCCTAAGTCTTTCAGTAGCCCCAGGAGGACTGGAGATGCTCCAGGAAGATGTGGTCCTGGGACCTACCCCCTCTCCTTTTCCCTCAGCCTTCACACTGCCCAGGATGACAGATTCAAATCCAGTCATGGCCTGAATATGATCAGGGCGGGAGCCAAGGGGGCTTAAGCTCTGGGCTCCCCCTGCCCCAGCAGGGCTGATCTGATCTGCCCCATATCACTGTAAGCCTGGCAGGGCACTAGCCCCATTTCACAGCTGGGAACACTGAGACCCAAGGAGAATCTCGTATGGGAGCCCAGAGCTCCTGACCCACATCTCTGCTTCCCCTCAGCCATCCTTGGATGCCAGCATTTGTCAGACCACACCTCTGAGATCCAGGCTGAACCTTGGCCTGCAGGGCGCCTCCCTGTGGATCCGCCTCAGCCCCACACCAGCCCTCTGACTTGTCCCACAGAGTCTGGGCCCCTTTGCCCTCCAGCACCTTGCCCACTCCCCTGCCCCAGCACAGATGTCCTCCTTGTCTGCTCCTGATGGCAGACCAGGGAGCACAGTGGAAGAAGAAATTGCTTGGGAAGCTGTCTCATTCACACCTGACCATTCATCACAGAACAGTTGTAAATTAGCACCCCCCACACACACCTCAGACCCACCTCTCAGCCCTTACACCTGTTGGAGTCCCTGTGAACAATAGAGGGTCTAACAGGTTCCATTGAAATCCCTCAGGCCCAGACCTCATCCCCATCTGAAGTCTGAAATGACATCATCAGAGATTCAGTCCTTTGAATTTGGTAAAGTGATTCAGTCTCCAGAGGCCCCAGTGAGACCTGAAAAGTCCTCATCGCTATTTCAAGCCCTTATCAGCCCACACCTGTGTGGAGTGAGCTGACAACCAGCTGAGCTGGGTCCTGGCAGAGGGGCTTAGGAGAGGGTGCTAGGGGAGTAGGGGGAGGAGGAAAAGGAAAAGATCAGAACAAGCCCCTACTCCCAGCCTCTCTCCTCCCATTGAAGGCAGAGCTAGAAGGACCAGGGAAGGTATGGTCCAACCTGGCAGGGGCCTCTTCCGGTCCTGAGGTGTTCCTGAGCCAAGTCCAGAGTCCCTTCCTCTTCCTGCTTTTCTTCCCATCAGCACCGTGTAATCAGTATCACCACCCATCCTCCAAGACCGGCTCAACCTCAGCGCCTCCTTGAGGCCACTGCCTGTCTCCTGTTCCTCGCCCTCCCAGGACCCTTGTTCTCTCTCTCACACTCATAAGCACAGTCAACCTCTCCCGCGCCTGTTCTCCCCTTTTCTCCTTCATTAATGTCACTCATTTATCCCACAAGCACATATTGAGCTTCTACTCTCTGTCAGATACTTTTGCTAAAAGCTGGGAATACAGCAGTGAATAAGGTAGGTATGGTCCCTGCCCCTGCAAAGCCAGGGTTCTCCTCAAATGGACAGAAAATAAACGAGAAAGAAATTAGAATAACACAAGTGATGCTGATGCTATGAAGAGGCAATCTAGGGGCTGAGAGAGTGGGGGTGGGCTTCTTTAGTAAGCGTGGTCACGGAAGGCCTCTCCGAGGTGGTGATATTTGAGCTCTAAAAGAGAAGGAGCCAGCCACTGAGTTGGTGGGGGTGGAGGTGGGGAGTCTAGGCAGAGGCATCAGCACAAGCAAAGGCCCTGAAGCAGAAACAAGTGGGGCATGCTGGAGGGGTGAGGCGAAAGAGGTTGGGGGGCTGCAGGAGATGTGGGCTGAGCGGCAGACAGGCCAACCCGTACAGGCTTTGGCTATCATGGTTAGAATTGCGGAATCCATTCTAAGGGCAGTGGGGTTGGGGCACGGGGATAAGACGATCCAATGCATTTTTAAGAAGGCAGCTTTCGGCACCGGGTACCAGATTGCCTGGGAAAGGGAATGGGTTGGGCGCAGGAGTGGAAGCAGAGGCCAACGAGGGGTCAGACAAGTAAAAGGAGCCACAGCTGGGGGGTGGGGTTTGGGGTGAGGGCTGAAGGGGGAGTGGGAGCCCAGTAGCGGACAGAGGTGAGGGCCAGGAGCCAGATCAGGAGCCGCTGGGATGGCAGTGGAGGCATGTGGGGACAGAACCGGCGTCTTCTCCCGCTGCCTTCCCAATGTCTGGCCCAGGGCCTAAGGGAGGGCAGCCTTGAACCTCTGTTCAAGAACCGAGGCAGGAGTAGGCGGGAGCCTGTGCAGAGACGCGGATGCAGGGATGGTCTCACTGTTGGGGAGAAAGATGGTGGGCTGGCCATGTCCCCGAGAGGGCCCAGGGCCACCCAGGGCTCACCTGCCTCCTCTCTTCCCCAGGTCGTTCTCCGGGGGGTCAACAGCCCCGGCCCCATGGTAGTCATTGCCCTGGTGCTTCCCAACTACAAGGAGTTTCGGGGAGTGGGGCCCAGGCGGGGGTGGGCAGGGAGGGAAGGGTGGGGGATGGGGGGGGGAGGCTAGAAACCTGCCCTCCCCACAAGGCCCGACAAACCTCCCCACTGGGGCTGAGGTCCCAGGACGCTGCCACAGCCCTGGAAAGGGGCAGCTCAGACCCTTCACAAGAGCAGCCTTGGAGTGGGGGGAGCCAACACGTAGAGGAGAAGGGTCCTCAGCCCCTCCAAACGTGCCCCCCCATCTCTACCCACCACATCCACAGTTCCCCTCCCACTCTAGTTCAGGGCCAGGCACCATCAAGTGGCTGTCCCCAGAGAAGGCAGCCTAAGGGTCCTCTCAATTTCATGACCTTTAGCCCTGCCTAGGAGTCCCCTTCCTCACCCTCCTGGAGGTCTCCCTGGCACCAACCCTGGCTCCTCCCCAGGCCTCTTTTGGGTTTGGTGGATTCACAGTCCACAGGAGGGGACTCAGTCAAGACCACAGTGAGTCATGTGGAAGGGAACCTGGGAGCTACAGCCCATCTCGTGACCAAGGTTTTCTCAAGGCTTGGACCAGCGACCGGAAGAACCAGTGTCCACCACCTGTCGGGGTGTCCAGACCTGAACTACGTGGGCGACTTCATCTTTTCCTCTCTCACATCAATCCAGAGCACACGTGGGAGTCCTTGGCTGCCTGGCTGGGCAGAGCCAACAGTGCTGGACACCCATAGCATCCCTGTGCTGACCCCTGTCTCTTCGCCTTCCCAGAGTCAATCAGGTAAGCTGGGACCCGGCGTCCCTGGGGCTTCCCATCACCCCACTCTCCCTCCCTATCCCATCCGTGATGAACTTTGATGTTCCTCGGGTCAGCCAGGATGGGTGCCCTCAGGTATGGCTCTTTCCTTCGCTTGCCCTCTCTCTGGCTTATACCTCTAGTAACTAACCGACCTGTGCATTCGTTCCCTCACTCAGTCAGCTATTCACTTAACCATTAAGTAAGAGTTTACTGAATCCCGACCCAGGGCCATGCCTGTCTGTGCTGTGGAGAAGCTGCCCTCAGGGAGCCCTTGGTTTGATGAAGACAGGAGTCACACATGTGAAAAGGTTAAATATCAACACAAGATAATGTATAATTAATAACAAACCAGGAGGGACTCAGAGCTATAAAAATCAGAGGAGAGAAGACACGTATTGTATGATTCCACTTACATTCAGTACCTAGAACAGGCAAATGCATAGAGACAGAAAGTAGAATTGTGGTTGCCAGAGACTGGGGGAGGAGAGAATGGGGAGTTATTGTTATTTAATGGGTACGTAGTTTCTGTTTCGGATGATGAAAAAGTCCTGGAAATAGATGGTGGTGATGGTTATACAATATTGTGAATGAACTTAATGCCACTGAACTATACACTTAAAAATGGTTAAAATGATAAATTTTATGTTATGCCTATTTACCACAATAAAAAAATTTTTTTTTTTTAACCAGAGGTGAGAGGGATGTGAAGCCTGAACAGGTGTCCAGACACAGGACTCCTGAGTTTTTAACAGGGGAATGTTGGTGCAGGGCGATTGAGAACAAGAGCACAGGTGTGGAGATGGGGATGCACGGACATGATACACATCAGGGCTGGAGAGGAGGGTGGTAGGGTTGAGTACGTCGGGGAGGGGTGTGCAGATTGTGGCTGGGTCCAGGGCCATGGCCTCATCAATCTCTTCCCGTAGTCTACACTTCAGTGGGACCTTGCCCCACACGACGGTCCCAACATTCCTAGGGGCCTTGAAGAAGAGAGCTTGGGAAGTCCTTCCTGTTGTCTGCCAACCAGAGTTCATGTCTGGCGTGGCAAATACAGAATGAGGTACCCCTTCGGAGCCCCAGCCTTCATTTAAAGGCAAAGACATTTGAAAAAGGCTTAGACACGAACAAGAGTGATGGTGATGAGGAGGGGTGGGACAAAGGGGGACTCGGGGGAAAGAGGCTTCAAACCCAAACCAATCCTCAACCTGATTTCCCCAGAGTCATCTCACACGTGGCCCTGCATTTACCCAGAAAATTATGAACCAATCAGCAGGCAGTCCCGAGGGGCAGAAAGCGCTGGCTGCTTTAATGAGTGAGCCCCCTCCCTACCCCGGGGCCTCTCTGGCTGCCTTTGCTGCCTAACTAGTCTGGGTGAGGGAGGTGTCCCCAGTGCCTCTTGCATGTGTGGGACTCGAGGCCAGGGGTCCAGCAATGGCAGGATGCTTGCTGAAAGTCACCCGGCACCATGGCAATTGGGCCAGGTTGAGAACTCACTGGCAGCCGGCAGAGGTGCCCAGGTGCCAGCAGTGAGAGGACGGGGGCAGGCTTCTGTGGTACAGGTGGGGAGATGGGGAGAGTGGGCAGAGCCCTACTTGGAAGGGGCACCAGTCAGCAGCTCACACAGACCCCTGCCCTGTCCCCTCTCCAAGCATCAGTCCCCTCATTTCAGCTGAGCGGGTGGCGGTTGGACTAGGTTATTTCTAGGACCTGTCTCTCTGACATCTTGGGATGCTGTGATGTCCCACCAGTTGCCCACCATGACAAAACACTCTGGGCAGGGATTTGAGGGCCTAGCAGACCTGGGTTTGACCCATCTTCTGTGACTTACTGGCTGTGTGACCTTTGGCAAGCTTCTTAATTTCTCCAATTCCTGATTCCTACCTTATTAGGCTCTTAGGAGAACTTACTGGGATAACCTGTGCAAAATGTGCAAGTCCAAGGTGGAAGCTAAATGGATTCAGACACTTTCAGAGCTGCCCCTCCCCTGGTGCCAATGCCCCTTCTGAGGCCAGCCTCACCATTGCTCTTGTTACATTTGGCTACAAGTAATATAAACCCCAACTCACATGGACTTAAACTCTAAGGATATTTGCTGTGGCACATTGGGAGGGGTCCCCATGAAGATGCTACCAGAATTGGTTGATGCCTGGGCTCAGCAGCATCCACAAGGACTCAGGACCTTTCCAACACCCCTGGATTGCCATCTTCAGCTGGCTAAGAGTTCAGGGGCAAAATGTTCCTAGCACCCCCCCAGCAGACATGACCAAGACCAGAGGAAGAGAGAGCCTCCCCTTCCCACAAGTGTGTTTTTTGTTTTTTTTAATAAATGTATGTATTTATTTATTTTTGGCTGCGTTGGGTCTTTGTTGCTGCGTGCGGGCTTTCTCTAGTTGAGGCGAGCGCGGGCTACTCTTCGTTGCGTTGCGCGGGCTTCTCATTACGGTGGCTTCTTGTTGCAGAGCATGAGCTCTAGGCGCACAGGCTTCAGTAGTTGTGGCTTGCGGGCTCTAGAGCTCAGGCTCAGTAATTGTGGCGCACGGGCTTAGTTGCTCCACGGCATGTGGGATCTTCCGGGACCAGGGCTCGAACCCGTGTCCCCTGCATTGGCAGGAGTATTCTTAACCACTGCACCACCAGGGAAGTCCCACAGATGGTTTTTATGAGGAGCTGGAAACCTCCCCTCCAGCTGCCCTTCAGCAGACTCCCTCCTCTCATCTTTTTTGCCAGAATTTGATCACATGCACTTGTTGACCTGGCCCAGCCTGTGGGACCCAACATAGGGTGGGACTCTGGAGTCACTCCTGCCCTGCACCCTGTACTCTTGAGGGGAGCCATTGCCCAACAGGTGGCTCTTGTTGTCCTGGCCTCCTACAGAGCTGATAGAGCTCCTGGCTGATGAAACACAAGCAGTGGTGAAATAAGCTGTCTGTGCCCACTCTCATCTCCTTGCTCAGCCCCCACAGCAGTCTGTACCCAAGTTCTCATGGGCTCCTGTCCATCCCATAGACCTTGCTGGCATCTTCTCTTGCCCGGACCATTGCAGCAGCCTCCACTAGGAGACTCCCATCCCATCCACCCTGTGACAAGTGGCCAGGGTGACCCCCTGCCCAGGATTAGGTCCTACCCCTGGACTCCTTGTCCCTACGATGGACAGGACAAAGCCCTCACTGTCAGCCAGATACACAAGGACCTGTCCCCTCCAGCCTCCTGGCTCACTGCCCCAGTTCACCCAGGCGTTCCCTAGCTCCACTGGATGACTGGCTGTTCACACCCATGCTGTCCTCTGTCACCTCCCAGTCTTTGCCTCTGCCGTACTCTGAGCCTGGAATGCCCTTCTTTCTTCTTCCTTCTTACCTACTGCACGATCCCTAAGGTCCTCCCCTCCCCAGGTTGGAAGTCATAGCTTTCCCTTCAGACATTCAGCTTCCACATCCCACAACTTGCTTAGGCCTCTGCATGGATCATAGGGATGTGTGTGTGTGTGTGTGTGTGTGTGTGTGTGTGTGTGTGTGGGGTGTGTCCTATCCTCTTGCAAGACAATGAGCTCCAGAGAGGAGCAGGGTCTGGCTCTAGCTCTCCCATATGCCCTGCTGAACCCCAGAGGCCACTAGCATGGGGAAGCTGCCAACCAGCATTTGCTGAGTTTAGTTGAATTGAACTTGCACCTTCATAGCAAAACATCCACTGTCTCCTTCCACTCTCAAAACAGGCTTTCAAAGCATGGAGCATAAGATGTTTTCTCACCGGACAATGACAAAACCAGGTCCCAGAGAGGCAAAAGGACTTGCTGAAGGTCACACAGCAAGGTTGAGGCAAACCTGGGCCCAGAGCCTAGGTGACCTAGCCACGCAGCATCAGCCGCCCCAGCAGCTACTCTTCCCAGGATGGCCACCACTACATCTGGGTAGAGCAGGCAGCAGCAGGTGTGGGTGTGGGTGTAGGTGTGGGTGGGCCCTGGGGAAATGGGAGGAGGGGCCATAGGTCCATGTAATAATGAAGGCTCTGTCCCCAGAGAAGGCAGGTCTGCCTCAGTGGCTGGGGGTTAATGGCTTTGCTGAAGATCAGAGCTGAAGGTTAATCACATTCCTTATTGCACAGCCTGCCAGGGTCTTTCCCATAAGCATCTGTGGGGAGTGGCTTCCCCGCTCACGGTGCTCCTACACACACACATGCCACCAGCACCTTCGCCAGGTCCCTGGCATCAGACTCTGAAGGTGGTTTAACCTTGATTCCTTGCCCCACCCCATACACACATGAGAGAGGCTGACCCTCCCTCCCCAATTCTAGGTCTCAAGGGCTCTTTCCTCAGGGACTTATCTGGGAAACCATTCAGGAAAGGAGCTGTCCTTCCTAGGCAGGCAGACACTGTTTCTTGCTTTGTAGACTCCATTTAGACACATTAATAGGCCCCAGAGAGGACGGCCAGTGTCCATTAAACACCCCTCTTCCTGGGTGGGAGCAAGGGATGGGGTGGAGGGGGCTGTCACAGGTCCTCCTTGAGTGCCCTAGTGTCTGGCAGATGGTCCAGGCTGTGTCGATGCCCCTTGGGGATTCAGGAGAATGGGGTGGCTCTGGGAAGAGCCTGGTTTAGGGATAAATCCTGAAAGGCCATTCCCAGGCACCACAGAACCCAGAGAAGCTTCTCTGGCCTGGCCTCGTGGCCAAGTGGCTGTCCCTGAGCTGCCACCAGAGCCTGCTCTCAAGAACACTCCCATCACCCCAGTCACTGTCCCTGTATTCAGGGCCCCCTAGCCTCAGAGTGACTGCAGCTCATCTCCCCAGGGGCAGGGGCAGATACAGCTGGGCCACAGGCTGGGCCTGGGAGAACAGGAGCAGACACATTAGTGTGACAGGCATCAGGGCCCTGCCACGGCGGGGGGAGTGCACCCACACTGATATTTCGCGATCCTGCATCAATAACTCCTGGAGCTGGCTGTGCCTTTGTGCTGACCTTTTCGAGTGATGACTGATTCCCGCAGGGGAGCAGGAGGTGGGAGCGGCTGCCACTGTTGCTGACAGCCCCTGGCTGGGGGCAGAGGCAAGGCAGCCACTTGGAGAGTCTGTGCCAATGACCCCCAGCCCCTGCCTGTGTTGGGACCATGCAGGGCTGCCTGCTGGGTGTCACAGGTTGATGCCCCCAAGTCCCATTCCTCACTCACTACCTTCTGGCCTTTGCAGGTGCCGGACCTCCTTCCCCTGGAGTCCTTCCTCATTCTAGGTGTCCACACATGCCAGGCTTGATGCCACCTCCACATTTTTGCTTAGGCTGTTTTCCCACCCAGAATAACATCCTCCCTCCCATCAGTCTGCCAGATCTTCCCTCAGAGGCTTCCTCTGGTCCTGCTTCCTCCAAGATGGCTTTTCTGATCACCCACGGGAGTGTCTCAGATAGTCCCTTGTTTAGGGGCTATAATTATGTTGCCTTATTTTGTTGTTTAAATATCACCCACATGTGTGCTCCAGCTGCTGGCTTAGCACGCCATCGAGTCCCCCAGATCCCCTATTGAAGACCTGCCGTGGCTCCTGCGAGGGGCTGGGAAACCCGTGCAGGGAAGAGAAGGGCTGGTGACAAGGGCAGAGGTCTCGTCTAATTTGGCATCTATGACACCACCAGCCATGGGTGGGAACGCTGGTGCAACTCTTTAGGAAAACAGTTTACCCAGGATGAATCAAGTACCTTAAAATATGCATGTCCTTTAACTCAGCAATTCTATTTTGGGTACTTGAACTAAGGAAACAATTTGAGATACAGAGCTATGTATCAAAGAACATTCAATGCAGTGTTATTGAACAAGTGGGAAGGGAGAAACCAGGACACTTGGACGTGACAGAATATCCTGCAGCTACTAAAGCTGGGTAATTAGTGTTACTTAGGACTCTGAATATGCTTAGATTTTAATGGTAAATGAAAAAGGCAGGATGTTAGGATGACAGTTATATGCAAAATAGGCATAGGGAAAAAACCAGAAAGAAACACACAATCTTATGAACAGTTGTCTTTAGTGTAAGAATTTAGGTGAGTTGTTTTTTTTCATCTTTCTACTTTTCTCTTTTTTCCAAAGTTTCTTCATGAAGTGTGTATTTATTGCTTTTATAATCGGGACAAACATCCGTGACATATATAGACATGCACACCACCAAATATCTGGACATCCTTTGATTTGGGAGAAGCTGTGGTCTCACCACCTTCTCCCACCTTTTCAGCTGTCCAAACCTGGGGGACCCCCAGAGCTGCCCCTGTGGAATCAGTCCTTCCTCTTCCAAGGCCACCAGCTTCTCAGAGGACACAGCCCTGGTGCTGGAGTACTACTCCTCGTCTTCAAGTAAGTGACCCTCGTTGCCATGTCAGGGCCGCCACACACCAGGACACGTGTATGGAAGGGTGTTCAGACCATCCTGCCTCTGTCTCCTGTGGGGGTGGGTGAGGGGTCCCGAGGCAGCCTCCCCATGTGTGCAGACAGGTTGGGGAGCCCCTGGCTGGCTTCCTTGTCCCAGTGACAACACTGGGATATGAGACAGAACACGTGGGCCCTATTCCCATACTAGACCCTCGTATTATTACACCACCACCCGGTCCACAGTACCTTTCAGGGAGGGGAGGAGCCCTCGGAGCTCACAGTGGGAGCTTTGTGCGGAGACAGGAGTCAGAGACCAGCTGACCCACAGTCCTAGTTCCACACCATAAGAGTGAAGCCCCCAAAGGACAGAGACAAGGGAGAGCTATATAAACACCCAGAGACACAGAATATGTTTAGAGTTGGTCTTGAACTCAGGAAGCCCTGAAGAGCAGTGGAGGAAGAGGAGATTTTTGCAGGGAAAGGCCAGGAGGCAGGGAACAGGTGGGCGGTGAGGGATGGGAGAATTAGATGTCAGCTACCAAAGGATGGGCCCCGTTGGGACCTCAGACACTGGGATCCAAGAAGCTTGGGCTGGGGGCTTTGATGGGAATCCCAGCCCGTCCTCCCTCCACAGTGAAAGGCAGTGAACCATGGACCCTCAACAAGCCCCTGGGTATCTCCGTGTTGCCGCTAAAGAGCCGTTTGTACCGCAAGATGCTGACAGGGAAGGGCCTGAATGGGCTGCGTGTGGAGAAGCTCCCCATCACCGTGAGTACCCACCACAGTCCCCTAGACAGGGTCCATGGCAGATCCACCCGGTCCCACCCCTCCCCAACCTGCTCCACCTTGCCCCCGCAAACAGAGGCAGATCTGGCTTCTCCAGCAGCTTCCACCAGAGCCCGCACCAGGGAATCTGACCACTGTCAGGTGTGAGGAGTACCCCCAACACCAAAACTCAGTCTTACTCCCGGGCTTGTGATGAAATTGCCCCCAGACAACTTGCGAGAAGCACAGGGAGGCCCTAGGGGATAGCAGCAAGAGTTCAGACTTTTAACCAGCCAGACCTGGGTTCAAACCCTGACTTGTCCTAGTCCTCACTGTAGAACCTGGGGCAAGTTACTTAACCTCTCTGAACCTTAGAATGCCCATCTCTAAAATAGGAACAGCATGACGTACATTATTTCTCTGCATAGTGAGAGAGTCTAGAGCCAGACGGTCTGGTTCTGCTACTTATCAGCTTACATGACCATGGAAAACTTACTCGGTCTCAGTGACTTAGTTTCCCTGTGTGTAAAATGGGTTCATAGTAATAGTACTTTTCTCATATGGTTGCTATGAGGTTTTTTGGAGGAAATACCTGTAAAGCACTTAGAACAGAATACGTTCCCAATAAGAATCAACGTGTTATTATGATCATTGTCTATTTCTATGCCACCTTTTTCCCTAAACTACTCTGGCCATCCTGACATAATAGACCTCAACAAATTGGAGCTTCCCCACTCTGCCAGGAGGCAAGTCTTAAGGAGCCAGTCAGCTCTCCTGTGGAGTTGGGAAGGGTAGTACAGAAGCAGTGAGGGTGAGCAGAGGTGGGAGACCAGCTACCGCCTCCCTCCCACTCTCTGGGCATGGCGTCCAGCAGGTACCTCCCGGGGGAATCTGAAACAATGGGCAGAGCAGAGGCAGAAGCTGCCTGCCCTGGCCAGTGCGGCCGACTCTCCCCTTCTCCGCCTCCAGGACACCAGGCTGAAAACCATAAATGGTGAGGTCCCCACGGTGGATCTCTCCTTCCAGCTGCTTTCCTCTGAGGTAAGACTGTGGGTCAGGGGAAGCTCAGGGCCCGGCAGCCATGTGTCAGCTCTTGTAGCCTCTCCGTGGGTTCCAACCTGCTTTTCAATCGCTGGCCTTATTCAGGGGCTGGGGCCAGGGGCTTTTAGAAGGATAGGGCTGCTGCTTTGGATGGAAATTTCTGAGGGTAATTTAAGGTTTGAAAAAACTGAGATTAGGAAGAGAGAGTTGAGAACAGAGGGCCACTCAGACCTGGGCAAGTCAGCCTCTAACTCAGCCCAAGCCAAGCCTGGCTTACTGGGATCAAGATTCTACAAGCATGAACTGGATATTAGCTTCTCTTGCTGTGTAACAAACTACCACAGACTTAGTGGCTTAAAACAACACCCACTTATGAGCTCACACTTCTGTAGGTAGGCAATGCAATACAGCAAGGCTGAAATCAAGATACTGGCAGGGTTCTGTTCCTATCTGGAGGCTCTGGGGAAGGGCGTGCTTCCAGGCTCCCTTAGGTTGCCATCAGAATCCAGTTCCCTGCAGTTGTAGGGCTGAGGTCCCTGTTTCCTTGCTGGCTGTCAGCCGGGGGGCCTCTCTCAGCTCCTGAAGGCCGCCCACATTCCTTCTCACAATGCCTCGTCCATCTTTAAGCCAGCAGGCATATCAAATCCCCCTCACACTGCAAAGCTCTCTGACTTTCTCCTCTGTCAGCAGCCAGAGAAAACACTGCTTTTAAAGGGGCTCATGTGATTAGGTCAGGCTCACTCTGATAAAGTTCCCATCTTAAGGTCAACTGTGTCATGCTAACATAATCACAGGAGTGAAAGCTCATCATATTCACAGGTTTCAGGGATTAGGGTGTGGAATCTTGTAGGCTCATTTTTGGGATCCTGCCCACCACAGCTGGGTTGCCCCAAGTTGAAAGTCCCCAGGGACTGAGCCCTGCCTGATGGATGGGATCACTTCCTCTATCAGCTATACCTGGGCTCTGAAGTCCAGCTTGGACTCGGGTCATTTGGCTCCAGTGCACCTGACAGGCTGGAATTTTCCCACTTTTTTCTCTGTGGTGCTGAGAGGGGCGTGAAGCAGGGATGTGGGCAGTTGAGGACCATGACCCCCTGGAAATGCTTGCAGGGGCTGATGTCTTGATCAGCCCACTCCTGCTAGCTTCCCACGCCAGGAAAAATAGCCACCAGCTCTGGGGTAATACTCGGCCCTGTGACCTTACCTGTGAAGAATGCGGGGAGTTCCTTGTTGGAGGGTCTGAGAGGTCGATCTGGGAAGGTACCCACCCAAAACTGTCTCCCCGCAAGGCCTCTCGTGAGCGCTTGAAACCTCCCATTAACACTCCCTGCTGTGGAATGTTCCACATGGCCCCGTAGAGACTCCTCTAATGCTTGGTGAGAGAGAGTTTGTTAGATACAACCTGACATCCACACCACCACCATCACCACCAAACCAGGTACAGGATGGAGAAGTTACTGAGAGGGGAGGGGACACAGAGGGAGCAAAAGACCCCAAGAAAGGGGAAGCAGGGATCCCAGATGTCACAGATTGGAGCTCAACCCTCCATGGCTCTTCTCAGGGTCTAGAGTCTGTCAGTGGCCACTGCCAGCCCCTTCCTCACCTCCCCCTGCCTCCTACACCTTCGCTGGGGCACGTGTGTCCTGAGAACCGAAAGAAGCGTCAAGTGCCGCTGGTCAGGGCACTGGGGGACCCAGGCAGGCAACAGGCAGGTGGGCAGGACACTTCCCCCAGTTGCCCAGGGGCTGGGCACAAAGGTCTCAGTGATGAATTATTCACTGGAGCTGGGCTAAGTGCAGAATTAATCCCTTTCCTTCCAGCTGGTGGCTTCACTAAATTATCCCTCCAAGTCATGCGGGAAAATGCTGCCGAATTCATTTAGCTGCTGAGTGTTTTGATCTGGGCCTTGTGATTTTAGCTTCCCCTTCCCCCAGCCCCCTGCCCCTGGAGGCGGGTAAAAAAACCTTTCAGTAGTGGATTTCCGAGAAGAAAGGAAAAGAAAGGGGATCAAGATTGAGTGTGTACCAGGAAAATAGTACTGGAGGAAATTCAAACTCTGCAGCCAAGAATTCACACACATACACAGTTCTATACATACAGAGTCTCACACAATCACATTTGAATACCCACACACAGACAATCACATATGCAAAGACATGCAACACAACCATACACATCCCTCTGCAAGAGTGCACACATTTAATGCATATATACGTGCTCCCACACCCGAGCAAACTGACACACAGACGTTTTCACACCCGCATTGGCACACACAGAAGAGAAGTCTTTTTGTGGTTAAACTGTTTCTTGGTGAAACTATCTGAGAACTGGCCAATAACTGACTCACTTTGATTCTAGAAGCTTGAAGTCCAATTTGGGGGCCTTAACATGAAAAGCTAAGATGGACTTGGCATAATCTTACAGCCATGGTACCCGGTCATTCATTCTTTTATCCCACATATATCTGTTGAGGACTAGAGTTTTGGCTGCCCTTCTGGACTGCAGTGAGGAGAGGGAGAGGCCGGCAGCCGTGGAGCCCGTCTGCTTGAACTTGCCCTCAGGCGTGGACATGGCTCTCTGCTGCTGTCTGAGCCCTTTTGTCATCCTCCTCCCTATGTGGAGGTGGGAGAGTGTTGATGAACAGATCAGATGGCGCTGCATCTACAGCGTGTCCCCAGCTGCATTCCTCACCATCGGCTTCTCTGTAATACCACCGCCGTGCTCCGTGCAACGGCAAATCTTTGCTGAGCACCTGGCTGTGGAGCAGGTACCGTCCTGGGTTTAGGAATCTTCCACTGAAAAAGATGAGAAAAAGGCCCTGTCTTCATAAGACTTGCATTCTTGGAGAGCAGGGAGTGTGGACCAGATAAGAGCAAATCAATTCATGAGTAGATATCAGCTCATGATATGAGGCCTGATGAAACTCAAACGAGGTTACACGATAGGGAGTGCTCAGACAGGCTCTTTGGATGTGATGTGCTCTCTGAGTAAGGTTACCAGCCAAGCCGCTGTAACAGAGAAGACCAGGTTCCTTCCATCTTATTGTCTCACCTAAGGTGTTGGCCACCAATTCATGGTGAGAGGCACCCAGCTTTCATCTCTGCATTCCAGCCCGTGGGAAGGAAGCACCAGACCTAGGACCAGAACTATCGATTCTTCCACTGTTTAAATCAAACACTGCTCAAAGCCCCAAGAGCCACTGCCTGAAGCCTGGAGATCTTAGAGTCCTGTGGATACTCCATCTGCGGTGGGGTTTGTGATAATGGGCCTCTCAGGGCCCCTCGTCCACCTGGCTAACAGCACCATCTTAGGGGCAACTCCTTGCTCATAGACAGCTGTACTACAGAGAGGAAATGCTTCAGAACAAATGAATATGCCTGTCCTATTTGGGTACCTCCCACTTGAGGACACAGCCTCTTTCCTGAGAGCCTTCATGTCCTGGAGGTTTGGGCACAGGCCATCCTGGTTAACTGACATTTTGGGGAACACAGTTTCCCCACACCCACTGCTTCCATATCACCCATTCTCAGAGCTCCAGGAATGAGAACATTGTGGAATTTCCAAATAGGCAGAGACCACAGAGATGTCTCTCCACAGCCCACCCGGGACAGAAATCTCCTTGATGTCATCCACCACGGGTGGTCATCCCAGCCTCTCCTTTTGCTCTGCCATGTCAAGGGGCAGTTCACTACCTCTAGAAGCAGCCCATCCCATGGTTCAGTGCCTACAGCTGATAGAAATGCTCACCCCACATTGAGCCCACCCTACCTCCAGGGGCTCTCCCTCTGCCCCAAGCTCCTGACTCTGCCCTCTGGGGCTGCAGTGCAACCCCTGCAAGCCTCCTTCCAGCACGCTGGCAGGCAGACTAGCAGTCACAGTGAATGGCAAGAAGGAGTGGTTTCCTGGTTTGGGATATTGTGCTTGAAGCTGGTTCTGCTGGTGATGGGTTGAGTTTTTCCCTCTGATGGAACTTCTCTGTGGACACCTGCTGCTCAGAGTGTTCTGCCTTAAGCTAGGGTCGTGTGTGTAGATGAGTACATACATGTGTAACTACATATAGCTACAAAAAACTAGAAAAACACAGACATCTGTGTATACACAGAAAACTTCCCTTTATTCCCTGTTCAGTGGGAGTTCACCTTGGAGGTCCATTAGCCTCTGAGAACCCATGAGCCTATGACTACTCCATATATACATACACGAATAAACCCTTAGTCCCCTCCATTCACCCTCTGATCTTGGCCTCTTCTCTTTGAAGAGTGTGATCTGGTCCCCCAGGAGTCTATGATTCTCCAGGCTAAGCAGTCTGCCTCTTTTAATGAACTGGTTTCAAGATCCCACAGCATCCTGGGTGCCCTCCGGCTTGCAGACAACTTCTTTGAAGTGAGACAACTGACCGGGTTTCCTAGGCTGACTATTGTGGATTAGAGCCTGGTTTGCACGCAGTAGGTGCTCATTGTGTCGAATCCTGCCTCCTTGCCTGGAAATGTGTCTCCCCATGAGGTGGGACAAGCCCATGCTGTCATCTGGGTGTTCAGCAACAGGTGCCCTCTTGGGGCTGGGGTTTGGGATCCAGGGTCTTGCCCAGGCAGCGTGCCAGGGCACCAGGCAGAGGCAGAGCCTCTCAGATGATCAGCCCCCTCTCCTTAGCCCACAGACTTGAGAGATGCTGGAGGATTCAAAACCCACTGCTTCTTTGGATTTGGCACAGACAGCGTGCCTTTAAGGAGAGGATGAGGTGGCCCCTGCTATCCCCCACTGAGGGAAGGGGCGGCTCCCACAGCCCCATCTGACCTTCCGGGAGGGTGGGGTGCAGGCAGGTCTTTGATGCCGTGTAAAAGGCTGCCCCAGTGTTTTTATTCAAACCACTCTCTCTGGAGACCAGCCCGGAGTGGGGACAAGTGGCTGTTTAGCAAATGTGGAGTGGAGGGCAGGGGACAGGCAGAAACATGCTGACTTCTGATGAATTCTTATGGATTTTTGGAAAGCCACACTTGTCA